ATCCCTGGGACGTGATGCTGTGCGTGTCCGGCACCGCCATCGCCTGCGAGAACGCGCTGGTGGTGGCCATCATCTGCTACTCGCCCGCCCTGCGCACCCCCATGTTCGTGTTGGTGGGCAGCCTGGCCACGGCCGACCTCCTGGCCGGGCTCGGTCTCATCCTCAACTTCGTTTTCCAGTACGTGATCCGCTCCGAGACAGTCAGCCTGCTCACGGTGGGCTTCCTCGTCGCCTCCTTCGCCGCCTCGGTGAGTAGCCTGCTGGCCATCACGGTTGATCGCTACCTCTCCCTTTACAACGCCCTCACCTACTACTCGGAGAGGACGGTGCTCTGCATCCACACCATGCTGGCGGGGGCCAAAAAAAGCTCTGCCTGGGGCTGCTGCCCGTCCTGGGCTGGAACTGCCTCCGCGACCGCACCGCCTGCAGCGTCGTCAGGCCCTTGACCAAGAGCAACGTGACGCTGCTGTCCACCTCTTTCTTTCTCATCTTCCTCATCATGCTCCATCTCTACATCGAGATCTGCAAGATCATTTGCAGGCATGCCCACCAGATTGCCCTCCAGCAGCACTTTCTGACTGCTTCACACTATGTTGCCACCAAAAAGGGAGTCTCGACCCTCGCTATAATCCTTGGGACTTTTGGGGCCAGCTGGCTGCCTTTTGCCATCTACTGTGTAGTGGGGGACCCCGAGTACCCTTCCGTCTACACATATGCCACGCTTCTACCCGCTACTTACAACTCCATGATCAACCCCATCATTTACGCCTACAGGAACCAGGAGATCCAGAGGTCCATGTGGATGCTCTTCTGCGGCTGCTTTCAGTTTAAAGTGTCCTTTCGCTCCCGGTCCCCCAGCGATGTCTGAGTGACTTTTCTCTGTGTCGTACTGCACCAAGTGACAATCTACCCAGCGAACTATTACAGTGCCTGTTCTAAATTTCAAACTACGTTGTGAAGTCGTTGGAAACATGCTTAAGTATTAGCACTTTATACATGTTTGTATCTCTGAGAGTGGTTCCGGGTATGGAATTTTGGGTTCTGTGGGGGAAAAAAAAAAGTGGTTGTATATAAATTTGCACATCACATTTGTAAAGTGAAGACATTCCGATACCGCTTAATTATAGCACCTTATTTCTAGCTGCTGATCTGCCAAAACAGTGTTGCCTTTCTGAAGGGCAGAGAGAAAGAAAGTGGTATTTGTGTTGTATTTATATGTGTGTGTGTTGGGGGGAGTATGTTTGTATATATGTATGTATGTATGTCTATACTTTGCTGCACAAAATTGATAAATTATAACATTTTGTATACAAATAAAAACATTTAAGATGTAATATAAGTACGTGTGTTTAGATGCTTTTAGAAATAAGAGACCTGGCACATTTGCCAGTTGAGCAAAGTCCCTTTGTTTACTTTTGAAAGCTCCCCATGTAATTCTGCCTAAAGAGATCATCATTCACTATGGAGATGAAATACTGCACCAAGAAAGGCACCTTCCTGCTTGCTTGTTTGTTTGTTCTCTTCTTTAGTCTGGCAAAGAGAGAGTATGGAAGAGCACAAACTCCTTTTTATTCTCCAGCAACCAAAGAAACTAAAAGCTCAGTCAAATGGGCTGCTAATTACAGTTATTTGCCAGGTTTCCAGTAGCTTTCATCTTCAAGTTGTAAGTTAGCCCGTTATGATAATATTCCATTAAAAAGTTATCAAGCTGTGAGGAAAAATCGGACTCTAAGCTGGGGTCTTTTTTTCCTCTTTTAGTCTAACACTGTAGGGGAAAAAGGAAAAAAAGAAAGAAGGTCAGTCTTCTTTCCCAAAAGCCTATAAAATGCCACAATAAATTGACTTTCCTTATCATCCACAGTTCTGAGGGGAATCCAATTTGTTTCTCCCCCTCCTTTTTTTGGACTGTGTGATGTAGAAAAATCATTTAAGTGCATCTTTGCTGTCTGCCTGTCTCAGAGCAGCATATAGTTTTCTGATAATGCCTCAGCTTAGTGGCTTCAGAGAGCCCATCAGAGGCCAATGTTGTTCAGAGTTCAGAAACACTTCTTCACTCAGGTTCAAATTCACCGACGACTGATTTATTTAGAGCAATAACACACCCAGCAGGTTTCACAAGCAGCGTTGCTGCTTATTTATTTGTAGATACGCTACATTTACATCCTGGTTATGTTACAGTTTATCAGTATAATTTCAATTTCTATTTACAGGATGAAAGAGATCACTCTTATGTGCATAGTACCATGTAAAAAGTTCGGACTAATGTGTTTCTCAGTTTATGACTGGGCAATGTATCAAGCATTTGCCTGCTGGAGCAGCTGGGGCCACAAGGATCCAACAAGCCTCAGCAAGTAATGCTGTATCTATATGAGTCCACGTATTATGAAAACTCTTTGATAGTACAAAGTTGGGGTTTTTTTGGTTTTTTTTTTTTAAATATTCCAGACTCTGCTAGCCTCATTATTTTTGTCAATTCTAAAAATCACCAACATGATGTGGTAATTGATCAATACCTTAAGGCATGCGGTTCATCAGATCGCTGTCACAGTGATGTTACAAATATGATTTAAACCAGTTCTTAAGATAGGTCAAAATGCCGCTGGGACTAAGAACTCTAAAGTTGCTAGTGAGAAAGATTATTTTTCCCCCTCTTTTAAGTTCTCATCTCATATGCTACATCTAAGCTAGCAAATAAAAGAGGGCAAGGCCTGCCCTCTAGCCCTGCAGCTGGGTGGAATAGAGCACACCTGAGCTCCTCTCCCCCTGCAAAGCCAGGGACCAAACTGCTGGCTGGAGCATCCTGGCCCTGCTCTAGTAACCTGTAAAGACTCAGCCAAAGAGGCTGCATCACCCGCAGTAGTAACTGCTGGGAGAAGAGACCAGCGGGTGCCCTGGACTGGTGATATCTGGTAAAAAACTTTCCAGTAAAACTGGAAAACTTGCCATCTGCTAGGTTGTATCTCATAAATCTTGTGTGATCTCACATCATTCTTGTGTGGACCATGGTAAAACTGCAGGGTAGGGTTGCCGTTGGTTCCTTTACATCCTCATGCTGGGATGCAGTTCCTCACACCCTGGCACTGAACATGCACCCAGGTGTGAGATGCTGAGTAGGATCTGAGCAGGCTCTGGGAGCCCTGTGCAGGCTCTGAAGACCAGTTTTGGCTCTAAAAACTCTAAAAGCTTCTAGAGGCAATTTCTTGTGTATACTTTTAGACCCTGAAATTAGGGAGACAGAATCTTAAAGAGACCATACTGATGCCCACCTCCCTCCATTAACTCTGTCAGGAACTGGGCATCAAGGATTTTCACCATGAGTTCATTAAGCAGTAACAACCTGTACAAAAATCAGATATAGAAAACTTAGATGGATAGAATCCTACTTCAGTAATAAACCACTTAATCCAGGAGTGAAAAAAGGCTTATAGTTATTTAAATCATTAGGTGAGTTACATTTCCACTTTTAGCCCAACATGGGGTTTTTTTGTTGTTGTTGTTGTTTTGGTTTGGGGTTTTTTTGGGTTTTTTTATTTTGTTTTTTTTACTATATGGCCACCTTTTCAGTTTAGCACTTTCCCCAGTGATTTACTGTGTCTACAAAACAAAGATGGGTCAGTCCTGTTAAAAATGCAACACTTCTAAGGTATTTTCACAAGCATTCTTCCCCTTTTCTAGGAAGCAAATTTGGGTTACAGTAATCTTAGTCATTTTGTTAGGACAATATTAATGTGGGGTTTTTTTTCTATATACCATGTTCAGAAAGTTTTTGCTGACTCATAATTTCTGGGAAAGACTAAGGCAAAGGGGGAGAAGGTATTTTGATGGGTTTTGGTTAGCCCTGAGAATGGAATTGATGTCAGCCCACTTGCAGTACAATACAGCCTTTCATTTCAAAGTGAGTCCTGATCTGCAGGGGTACCTAAGCAGAATAACATAAAGCAGGCTACATAATCTCCTGTCTTCCCAAATAACATCTCACTTTAGCAAAAGAGAAGCAGCAGTCCCTGGTTATATTCGCAATTCCTGATGGAGGGAGTCCAGGAACTGTGTATAGCATGATGTCTGTATTTTCCTTGCTGAGTTTTTAATTGAAACAGTAGACACTTATTTGAGAAAATGGTGCTGTATGTGCCATATCTGGACCCACAAACTTCTCACCTTGTCGCCCAGATGGCGCTTTGAACTTGGTCATGAAACAATTTGTGGAAGACAAAAATTCTTGGAGTCCCCACTGTCAGTGGCTGGGGAGGCCCCCCGTGCCCCCCTGACGGGGAGCCAGCCAGGGGGGCAATCCTGTACCTCTCTGAGCTTCTAGTTCCAAAAGTCAACAGGCAAATTTGCCCGCATAAAGACTGCAGAACTGCAATAGTAATTTCTGTTACTGCTGGTGAGCATGGATCTTTGCTTGTGCCTGCAGGCTTGTGTGCTCAATAGTTTTTATGTTCTTATGTCAATGGCGCTGTCTTTCAAGGGAGAAAACACATACTGAGTTAGGTGCGAGGATCAGGCCCAATGTTTGGTCATCATATATTATTTGTAGCCTTTCTTGAAAATGGAAATGAGGTTTCCTGTTCTATTACCCTTAAAAATTCTTTGGCTTATTCTGAAGCAGAGAAAATGTCAATCTTGGTCTAAAGAGCTCCCAGCCTGCTCCCACTAAAACCAGTGATGCTCTCTATTGCACATCAGCCAAGATAATGACAGTATCTCATTATAAAAAATTACCATCCTGAGGCAGGAAGTCCTCAGCCTCAGCTCCAATTTTAATTAGAAACTAATGATATAATGTTAACCTTGACAAATCTTACGGGACTTGCAATGCCTCTAACGGCCAGATCCCGGCAACTTGACTTGTGCAAAGTATCTCTCTCTGTGATTAACTCCCTCATTTTGGTGGCAGCAATTACAGAAACAAGAGCACAGCTCTGGTGAGGAAGGCCTGGTTGGAAGCTGGGCCAAAAGTGCCCCATAGCTCCTGCTTTTCTGTGGGGGTTCTGCTGAAATCGGCGGTGTAACGGTGAAAACCAGACTGACTCCATGGGCTGCTTTGTATGAGTCACTGTGTATTAAAAAGCCAGCTGGATTCAAAATCACAGGTCAAACAAAACCTCTTTATTTAGCTAAGCAAACAAAAGGACAAAACACTTTTAAACCTGAAAAGTGAGTCTGTACATATTTTTATCAATGTAATGATCCACAGGTACTGAGTAACACCCAGTGAAGCGCTAGAAGCTCTAATCTCCATTCTGCTGCTCTCATTTTAAAAGGATAAATTTTTTTAATGAGGTAAAACTAATTTCTGATAGTGCAGCTGCTCCTAAGCTCTTCAACTAGCTTTTATGGTAGTCATTTAAAAAGAAAAAATAGCCAAGAAGGAAAACAAAAAAAACATGTTTTCTCCTCCTTGCTGCTGTATGACGGAGACATGAGACGTGGAGGGCAAGGAGTGACCGAGCAGGTGCTGTTCAGCTCTGCACTGAGGATGAGCACATCTGAAGCTCATCTAAACTGATTCTAGGCTTGTTTGTTTGGGGAATACTCTGAGTTGGGAGGTGTCTCCCCATTGCCTCGTCCTCATCAAGTGAACTCCTCCCTGGGACCTGCCGCAGCTGAAAGCTCACGGAGCAACTCCTGAGCTGCTGCATTTTGCTCAGGAGTACCATGCAGAGCTCCCCTGGGTGGAAAACTGACCTGCCTTTCACTGACCTCTCTATGTTTAAACTCTTTGCTCTGAATACAGAAAGCTCTCCCAGGGAAAACATTTCCCCAGGGGCAGTTTCATTTGCTGCAGGCAGTCACCTGACATGGAAATAATCCAGCTGCTGCTGGGGCATCTGGAGAGCTGTAAGCGCTGACTCAGCACTGGCG